CTTGATCGAATCGGGATGGGCGCTCTTAGTTTTGCTCTTCCCTTCACGGTTTCTCTCTACCTGTTATCACCATTGTCGGTGAGTATATTTTGCCAAATTTCGCTGCTCCACGTAAGGCCGGAATCAGACTATACGCATTGAAAACTGAGATTGAAGATTGAAAGATTGAATTTTGGCTAATCAAAATAATATAGGAACTAAAATTTCATTATCCTCAAATTTCAATTTTCGATCTTTAATCTTAATTTTCAATACGTATAGCCTGATTCCAGCCTAACATGTCGTTTTAAGTTTGAATGTGTTTTCCCAGAATGCATATAATCTTGGAAAAGTGGCAACAACTGAACAATTAAACAATTTCGTCAATATTATTAAAATACCGAAAGAGATTCACAGTACTTCACAGAACAGGGAATTCGAATTAGAGATTGTGGATGGCTCCACGAATCCGTTGATAATATCGAAACCTGTAGCTTCCATAAGAGACCCAACGAAACTGAACGTAGGTTTTCAAGCTAAAGTTGAATCAAAGAATCTTCCGTTAAGTCCCATTCGAGGAGACATCTCAACAAATGTCCACCTTGCAAATCAAGCGAAATGGTTGCAAGACACACAATCAAGCGAGAATAAAGCTTCTAAAGAATTTTCGTCGGAAGAGGAATGGATTAAAAATCCGACAAGGAGCCTTAGAGACAGGGAAGGAAAACAGGAAGAACGCGAATATTTTTATCTGTACTTTCCAGATGTTAAGGATATGTTAAAAGAGAAGACTAAGGCGAGTATGCAGCTTGGACTGGACGTCGGTGTCACATCGAAGAAGGACACGGACGAGAACGCGGACAAGATCGATGCTTTGGTCATAAATAATCGCTCAAGAGGGAAGAAAAATTACATCTGGCTCTGCAAAAGATTAATCGACGGATCGACAACGAGTTTGATGCAGAAACTGCAAGGCAAGGATTGCGTAAAGCTCCCGAAGAGTGAATTTTATCTTCAATCAGATACGAAGAACGTGAATTGGAAAAAGGACGACATGGTTAGGCTGATAGGATTAAAAATCGGGACTGGCAACGGAAAGGATTACAAGGACTTCGGGAGTGAAAATAATGAAAATAAACAGCGGAGTGGAGTGATGGACATGGTCGAAGCTTCACTTTTAGATACTTTGGCTAATTACGATGAGTCGGAAGTGACCGACAAGCATGAAGCGGGTCTAAACATCAAGATGCCTTTAATCGATGGTAGAATCGCTAACCTCTTGCGCGACGGTAAACTTTCGTTATCCGCGTCAACCGCGTTAAAAGTGTGAGAGAGTGATAACCAACGATCGAGTTCATTAACTATTTAATTTGCAGCTTCGATTAACTATTTTGTTTACACATATATGTATGTATGTTTATATGTGTACAAGAAATAAAGACATTACTTACACTATACAAAGTTTTCTGTAAGACCATTATGTGACTACGCAATTATAAAATAAGGATCTAAACGTACAAGGTAAATCTTTAATGCTAAAATAATTCTGTGTGAATCTATTTACAACATATATGTAGTACTTTTTAAACTGCGCGCCGAAATTACTTTCAGTCTTGAAATGCAAAAGTCCCAATTAAAGAACTATAATAATAAAATAATAAATTAAATTGACCCAGTTTTAAAAAAACTACATATATGTAGTAAATAAATTCACACAAAATTATTTTGAGCCTAAAGATCTAGCTTGATCGTTTAGGGTTCTCAAGGGAATGCTGGAGTTACCGACGGAACGCTCATTTCCAACTATTTCGTTTTCCTCTCTTATACGGAACAAAAAATCCATCTTCAGAATAAAAGAAAAAACACAAATAGCTTTGGGAAAGTACAAACCTGTATAAAAATTCCAAAAAATGACAAAAAATTGTAAATTACAGCTTTCTCATATTTCAATAATTTATAAGAATATCATAAAACTTTCAAATTATAATTTTGAAACTTACAAGAGAAATGACAGAAAAAGTACGATTTAAGTGTATATAATCTCGCATTCATGCAATACATAGGAAATAACAGAAATGTACGTAACGCTTTACTTAATGGTTTACATAATGTACGTAATGTTTTATGTAATGTATGTTATATTTTTTTCTTGATGTACGTAAAATTTTATTTGGAATTAAAAATCTATTTTATCGACATCGATCAAGTTTGGCCGTCGCTCCAGCATCCCCTTAAATACATTTTAATTTGAAGGAAACGAATTTCTCGAGGAAAAAATATGGAAGCTGAAATATGTACGTGTAAAATAGCAAGTATAACTGTATTAAAGATTAGAAAGAAATAGTAAAAGAGATATTAAAATTAAATAAAGTATTTAAATAAGATACTTGCCAGACCAGTCGCAAAATTCGTTCAAATCCGAAGCATGGAACTTTTAACATACAAGATCCCCCTTCTTTATCACCCCTTTATAATTCCACATTAGCTAGCTTTCCCCGAAGAAAAAAGATTCCAGATCCGGTCTGAGGTCAATTCCCTCGACTTACACTCAAGGTTGGAGCGTGTGACACGGCCGTTAAGACACAATAGATCATTTTAAACTGTTGTAGCACATAATTAATCTTAACAACAGCAGCCGCGGCGGCGGGCGCGGATATTCGCGACGACTGGCGGCCTTCGTGCGGATAACCAGAACAAGATCTAAATGATTTTTCGCTTTCAAGCCTCTCCGTCTTGTAGTTCAACGTCTTGTAACGTAGTATCTGTCGACAATTTATAAATAAATTAGCAAGAATCACAAAAAGTCGCGAACACATTATACTTGAAAATTGTTAACAGTCGACGAGTTTCTTCGACATGAATGCGCGATCATTCATTGCTTGATTTTATCCCAACTATTTCTCGATTATACATTTTAAATCTCTACAATACATAAAAAAATTTACATTTATAATCACGACAGCCAATTAATTATCATATTAATTTGATTGATTAATTATGACTTAATGAAGCAGAAAAGAGACCGTTAATCCATCCATCTTTCCGAATTAAAAAAACGAAGAAAAGATGACACAGCTAGTTCAACGTGGTGATTCTGTATAATTATTTACGACGGATATTTCAATTCAGTGCCGGAATTACATTCTTTCGCTACCATGCTTGACGGAAATGTGAAATAAAAGAGGAAAGGATGCGTAACAAACGTGAGAGCGATCCACGAACATTTCGTATTCTCGAATGCCATCACCGTCGGTGATTGAAAAAAAAAGATATAAAATTTGATAAAAAAAAATTTAAAACGAACTTTTCAAACAACCTAATACATATATACACGTACACTGAGGAAAATGATCTGATTGAATTAAACAATAATTCTGGTAGAAAATAAATTAGAAATCAATTTTTTCTAATTAAATCTACTAGAATTCTAGTTGAGATAACTAGAATTCTGACTGATATTATTGTTCTGGAAAAATTAAGAATTTTAGTAGATTCTACCAGAAATATTGTATCAACCAGAATTTCAGTTAGCTCAATTAGAATTTTAATAAATTTACCAGAAAACTCTGATTCGGCCATCGACAACCAGAAATTGCACGACCGAGTGATCAATGACTTTGTCTATTATTATCAAATAGATAATAAGATAACATGACGTGGCAGAATCGACAAGTGAATTTGTTCTATTCGAGTCTCAATAAATTTCTGATATAATATATTAACGTACGATTCAATTCGAACTTATTATTTAAGCTCATAGTAGATATGGGAATAAAAATAAATGTAAGAATAATTTACAAGTCGCAAATTAAATTCATCAAGACGAAAATTACGTCCAATAAAATAATATAGTGCGATCGATTGTGGTAGCAAATACAGTGCAATCGATCGGTAGCACGAGACGTTAAATGTGGAGAATATTTTATGGTCATCAGAAGAAGAAAAAGAGTTTAAATAATATTTTTATTATTAATTATTAATATTTACCCTTCAACGATTTATTTCTGAAATTAATTCTAATTGATTAAATGCGAATAATATTGCATCACGAAACGTTAGATTACATTTTTCATTATAACATTTGTCATCTCGGTATTTTCCCGTTGATTCTATCCGCGATATAGCTAAAATTTTATGAACTGAGACTGACTCCGTATAGCGAGATAGCATATGATATTCTAAGGATATTTTGGGGAAATTCTGAAAATGTCACCAGATATATACTCAAAATTAGCGATGGTTACAAATAGATTCGAATACGTTGAAGCACTTTCGAACTGTCTCTATGGGAGTATCTCAAAAAATAAAAGCAGTACATAGTTCCAAGTAGATTCGAAGAAATCTGGAAGAAATAGCTTTGAATCCTATATGAGAACCTCAAAAAATGATAATTTTGTTTCATTTATTACTAACAACCCTGTTAGAATTCGATCAATTACTCCGCAATTATTGATCGATTCCTTTGCAAGTATAAAGAATGAAATATTATTTCTTGTGAGTAGTACTGAAGAAAACGGAGCTAAATTATTGAATATGACTGGAATGTTGAAGTATATATTGAATTTGATTTGATCTCTACTCAGGATGTTCCTACTTCCGCTCATTACTCTCTTGCTTGAGAGCAATAATCAAAATATCCTTAAAATATCCTCAGAATATCATGTACGTATCCGGGAGATAATTTGCGAAAATTACAAATGAAGTCCACGCGGGGCACTCGCGTAGGCAGGCCTTCCCTGTCTAACACACGGCCGGTTTATTCGCGATCGTCCCACGGCCCACGGCGTGAACGTCCAGTTCAGTCGTCTGGACAGTTTTATGTAACACGAGTCGCGTAATCGCGATCCTCCTTCGCCGGCGTGAAAGAGAATGCGATCTCAAAGATGGCCTCTCCTCGCCGTTGTCAAATTCGCGACGCTATGGAAAGCAGCGTCGAGATGAGAAACACCCGGGGGGACAGCAGGGTCCCACCCGCCTCGAAAAAAAATCTCAGATTAATTAACAATTGAGTCGGTACTCACGACAAGGAGCGCGGTGGTATTAGAGGAGTCTGCGTGCGACGCGCAAAGCCCAGCGAGGTCGAGCGAGGCTCACCACCTGATGTGATGTCTGACAAGCACTATCCAGCACGCGCCACTTCTTGCGTGCACTGCACCGTTTGCGGAAAGGGTTTCGGGCGTTGCGTTTGTCGCGAGCGTATTGAACGTAAACGTGAACGCGAACACGAGACCGTACGCGACGCGCGTCGTCGCGCCCGGAAGAAATGCGGTCACCACCTACGCTGTAAACAGCCGTGTATTGGCTGAATTGGAACACGGCGCGAGGTTGATCGACCACGATCAGTTGTCGTAAACACTGGTCGCCATGCTGTTAAGGCACCTGTCAATACGCAAGCAGCGCGCGCCATCTTGCGTACGAGCGTTGGTACCGCGCCGGCGCCTGCAGATGGCATGAATTAATCCATTCGAGTGATGACTCAGCCCGATTCAGCCACTAACGAGGCAACGAGCTCGGTAAGGTAGTTTCCACCGAGGGTTATGCTGGATTCACTCTGCATCCGATTTTTGTCGTACGACGACTCTGCAACCAATCAGGAAAATCGTATCATCGATACGAAGCAAAATTTTGTTTTCTGATTGGTTGCAGAGTCGTCGTACGACGAAAATCGGATGCAGGGTGAATCCAGCATTAGAATTGGGTCAGAGTTCAAGAACCGGCCAACCACAGTCGAGCATTCCTCAGATAGAGACCTCCGGATCTACATGGCTTTTATTAGGCTGCCGCACATACCTTCCGTAATCCCGGATCTACAATACGTGTTTTAAGCCTTAAGCTGTAAGAAATTAATCAATTACAGTCGAATTCGAGGAAAATAATCGATTACGATTCGTCCATTTCTTATGGCTTAAAGCTTAAAACTCTGTTGTAGATCCGGACGTACCATAAGAATCAGCCAATCACAGTAGGGAATTCGTTTGAATTCTTAATTCTGATTGGCTAATTCTTACGTTTTATGGTTACTGTTACGGAAGGTGTGTGCGGCCATTCTACAATGGGCCGTAGTAATAGTGGATTAAGGAGTAGGCGTAGAAATCAACAAATCATAGTTGAATGTGAGGATAATAATTAACTATCATTGGTCGATTTCTATGCCTACTCCTTAATCCACTACTGCTACTGCCCATTGTAGAATGGGCTTAAAGCCTATTCTACAATGATCGTAAGAAGTAAAAATTGACCAATCGTAATCGAATATGAGGAGAATAATTGATTACGATTGGTCAATTTTTGTGGCTTACGGTCATTGTAGAATAGACGCAAGGGTACTGTCACAAGAAGAGAAAATTACAACGGAACGGAACAGTGAGCCCAATCAGAACTCTGCAATCATTACTCTGCTTTCCTTTCTACGATTGTGATTGGTCTCACCGTTCCGTTCCGGTGTAATTTTCGCTCCATGTGACGCCCTTCACACTGGACGCGAAAACGCTTGCCGCGCGGCAAAATGTAGCGCGGTAGCCAATGAGCTTACAGCTCCTAACATGTTCATTGGCTACACATTTTGCCGCGCGACAAGCGTGTTCAGTGTGCTGGAGCCATTAGAACGAATTCTGGTCCAAGTTTCGAGCCCATCTTTTACATGACCGATCTATTGAGTTTGGTCTCCTTTTTGCTCTGTACGACGAACAAACGAGGTGTCTAAATTCGCGGAACAATCAAAGAGGGATACATATGCACAGTCAAAGTCGGTAATACTTTTAAAATTATACGATTTGATAGCAAGAACGGAAAAGCGTCCGCCGCGACTGAATGGTTCTCTAGAACTATGCCGATCATTCTCTCTGTTGTCAATTTTTGAATAATTATATATCACTTACTTCCTTTCTTCTTCTCAGCGAACAGTTTTGTACTTGAGACAGGAATATAGATTCTGTTTGATAGAACGATTGGTGTAATTATTCTACAAAAGAACCTTCATTCGCGGACATATTTCCACGTAAGATATTGTAACTGCCTGTATTACCGATAAAACTAGCGTTTTTCACTATAGGGTTAGTGAAAAACTCAAAAATTTATAAAGTTATCGGTATTTTTACGCGGATTATATGAAATTATCGGCTTTTACCGGCTATAATTGTAATCCTTATTTAAATGATTTTCATTTTCGATTTTTTAAACAGATAATCTATTTTGTGATTTTATAATTAAACTGCCACATATATATTAAAATTCATTTAATGCAATTTTTATACTAGATATATATATAAATAAAAAAATAAGTTTTTTGACTAAATAAAAATAACTTACTACAATTTTTTAAATATCAGTCGTGAAAAACAGAATCAACAGTAAACCACAAAATGTAGGTTTTATCAATGTTACTAAAATCTCTCATTATTGATCAGTGAAACGAGACATAAAATAAAGTTCTTTTTTGCACCAGAAATTGAACTCGACTAAATTAAGTCATAGGATTTTGTCATAGAACTTCATATAAATAAATAAAATGTTCTCGATACAATTAATTATTACGCATGTAACTTATGCAGTTTTTATATTTTAAAAAATATACATATATTTATATAATTTATTATTAACATTGGAAGCGTATATAGTGTTAGTGTCGATACAAAAGAAGGATTCTCGCATACTCGATAATAAATTAAGATTGTAATGATAATAATTATAATAATAAACGAACACACATCACATGTCGGGAAGGAGATATGTAATAGCACAATATTAAACTCTAAAATAAGAATACGCTCTGACAACGCCGCGTTGACATATAATAATAGCCATAATTAGAACGACGAGCGTATCTATAAAAAATGGAATTGCGTCGTTTGCAATAATTAATGCTATAATAAATAATAATGAATCTATATCAAGTACGAAGAAAGGACTATATCGATGCGCGACTGGCGACCCTTTCCCGATCATAAAAAAAAAAAAGAAAAAGGAAAGAAAGATAATTCCTTAAAATAAATCTACGGACGATATTGTTCGTCACCTGCCATGTATAATAACGGTTTGCGAATCATAATTCCGCTACGTTGATTAGAATCTGCAGAAACGCGCGGTTGTCTGAGAAAAGGGATCGGCAATCGCGGTACTATATATATTATCGTAGAAATAGCAGTAACGATAACAATCTGGACTGCGACTGGCAAGATGCTCGTTTTTCCCTCGAGCGCGTTTTTCCCCATAAAAATTCAACGGATTTCGGACCGTCGACGGGGGGTGGATCGGGTATCCGAAATTCACGTGAATAAATACTTTATCACGTCGCGCCTGTCCATCAAGAGTCACGAACGTTACGCTCGTACTCGAATGGAATTCATCGTATATTTGCAGTTGGTTAATATGAGCTGAGCAAACTTAAATACAAGACTCGTGACGAATCAATGTATGATAATGGTCACTTCTCAAATCTGAGAGATGCAAGCCAAATTATCCTGTCGATCAATTTTCCTCTTCTCGCTCGCTCTCTCTCTTTCTCTCTCTCTCTCTTTCTTCTTGTCACCGTGCCAGCTCGATCGAGCTTAATAGAGATAATTTTTCGGCTCCTCCGTCGGCTGCCCACACACTCCGTGATATTTTTTCGTCACGAGACTCCTGCTGCGGCAGTTTTCGATCTCCAGGAAGCACTCATTGCTGTACGTCATGCCATCGGTGCCGCAAACCGGGTCGTAATAAGGTGGACAGATCTTCTGACAGCCGCGAAACAGGAAACCCTGGACACACCTCTTCATAGGTACCACATATACGTGTTTCCTGGAATCAAAGTGTTTTTTCTTTTTATTTGAAATATCATAATATTATTAATATAAAGAATTGAATTGTACTATTGAAAGAGATTTTATATGGGGCATTAGGAAGTAATTACATCGTTCAGGGAGTTCGTAACAGATATGTAGCACAATAGCCTCCTCTTCACATCTATCATTTTTCAAACATATGAATATATTTGGCGTAAATACACATATATCGAGTAAATATGCATTAGAAGTGGGCGCATTAGAAAGCGGTCGAAAATAGAAAATGACTCCTTTGAGAAAATGGGTCGCACGGAGGTACCAACAATTTCTACTTTCGAAATTTCGCGCGATTGTATTCGATTCACCTTTTCCCGAAGTAGGATACTTTCCTTTCACATATTTGAACAGCAGGTTTAAAAACATCTTGTTAGTATGCAACGCGGAGCGATAGAAGTAGTTTATTATTTTCATGAAGAAAATGTAATGGAATGGCTCTCCGGCGCTGAATCACTCACGGACTTTCATCGGACATGCACGCGATGCTGGTTCGGATTAACCGTTTCTCAAGGACCAGTTTCTTAGATGATCTTCTCTTCCTCGGATGTGTTTCAATAGCGCGATCGGGCGTAATGAAAGTCTATGGAAAGTATTATATCGGGAAGAAGCACGATCGCGGTCAACGAAAATTATATGCGCGGCACGAAACGTGCTATTCTTTGAAGTACGTTTCTGAATAATTGAATTTGAATAATTAGTCTTTTTACTTCTAGTAAAGTAATAAAATTATTCCATGGCAGTTTTTTCTGCTAAACCACAACAAAAGTTATATCTTGAAATTAATTATTAATATAAAAGGAAAGGAACGTGACTAAATTGTTCTAAAGTAATTTAATTCTTGACAGTAGAAAACCTAATCGAATAAATTCTCTTTAAAAATGAAATTGTAATTTAAAGCGTTTGTTTTAACTCACACTCATCCACAATTAATGAGAGAAATTTTAATAGACTTTATTCTATAAAACATTAAAATCTATTAACTAATACCTTTATCAAGATAATATTTTTATTTATATTACCATAATTTTCATCATCACAAGCGACGATCTAATTTATTTGCTATTATACTCGTCTATTATATTTAATAAAAACTACAAAGAGTAAGCAAAGCTTTATAAGAGTTAATTCTCTCATGCAATTATGCACTTCTTAAGACTCTCTTGAGAATTAGCCCGAGATTAATTAATTAAAACTCACTAATTGTGTACTTTCCGAACA